CATAATAGAGGCACTTTAATAAAATGTAGATACATAATAATGTACCAATAATTGTATACTTCCTGTACAAACATGTGCCTGTTGCATGAAAGTCTGCTACTTCAAATGTATTAAACATTTGATGCTGTTGTTGGACATGAATGAGCCTTTCCTGCTCTCTAACTCAACGCTGATGGCACATTCGCGTCAAATACAAATCCTCCCTAAGTCAGCAAAGCATCGGAATGCAACCCATCCGGCACACACTCACACAAATGCCTCGGCTCAAAAGATTTGGGCTGATGCATGGCCATCAGCATTTCAGCAGACCTCAACAACAATTAAGCCTCATCAACCAGTGCTATTTCATAGACCATTTAGCTGGCTCACAGTAGAGCCCCGCATAGGACTCAAATCTCTGTTAATGTCACAAATATCTGAAGTTGAACCCTGATTTCAGTACTTTGACACTGTCTGCGCATAGCCAACTCATTATTGAGACCCATGAGCATATGGCATCCTGCATTCATCTGAAAGAATAGATTTTTTTAGATATTGAAAATCTTAGAGTGTAGACATTTTTCAGTTCATTGCATGTTATAGATCTTATTGTGAACAATTCATCCGTGTGCTTTTTTTATTTTATTTTTTCTCCTAATGTTTAATAAAAATGTAGATCATGTGAAACGACAAACTTCTCACTGATGTCATATGCTGGATTTCTCCAATAATTTTGTCTGCTTAAACCCCGCCCCTTCACAATCAGCTTCAAGCTTTCATCAATTTTTGAGAGCAACGCCCATGTCAAAATCCATTCGTAATAGTTGATAGAACAAAGTCACCAACATACTTTTTCTCTTTTACGATAATCCATTAAACTCGGATTTACGTCACAATAAGAAAAGCTCTTTAATGAGGCTGTAAAGTTGTTGAAGTTACTATAATCCCAACCCACATAATTACCTAAATATAGTTCATCCGCAAATAATTTGCCATTTTATACTTCGACCGCTACAGGTACAAAAGTTAAGTATTATAGGAATACTGGTGGAAGAATACTTTGCTATGGGCCATTCCCAGCACTTGATTTGTTGCATAGCTGCAGTGTTTTTAACAGACTGTTACAGACCATAACTTGTGCTGAACTGGTTTGATACAAAAAAAACAACAACAACAACAACAACAACAACAACAACAACAACAACTCATAATTAAGAAAATTCACTGTAATATTATCACCAAGAGTTTTCTAATTGTAAGGGCTTCAATGGTTTTTCAACAGCCTTAAAGCTATCAGACATCTTATTTCCTAGAAGACAAAACTTTAGATTAAACAGAGATGACTGTTTTATTGCTCTCTCTAATGCAAGAAACGATCACTTGGCCAGCATGTGTGAAAGTACATGACACAAATAACATCTTTACTGCAAATGAGGTGAGCAACACTCTTGCACAATTCACACTCTCATTATGCCAATGTCAATCTATTGAAAGCGAGGTAGACAGAGCCAAAACACTGTTCCTGTTACTAAATCATAAGCACATATGTGGTTTGGAAAAATAAAGCACTACTCATTTTCTTAGTAGAGGAACAAGAAAAGTGAAAACTTTTGGCCCCATGCTGATATATTTTTAGCAACTGACAATTTTTCATTCCACGATCATTCTATTAAATTGAAATGAATATGAAATGATACAAGCTAGCTCCCAAGTCCTGAAAATTAATATACGAATTATATGACATGACCATAAATACAGTACTTCATCTCTCATGGTGGTGCATAAATAAGGATTTACCTTAAATCCAACAGTACAACAGAGTGAGGTAGATTAAGTATGATAACGTGCCATACACATATATTGCATGACGTCATGTAAAAATTGATTTTTCAAAATCTGAAATGGCACACTTTTTACACTGGTACTCTTTACAATGACAAAAAGCTTTGCAAAAATGCTGAAGTCTAAATAAGTGTAGCACTGCATGTTATACCGACGCGTTCTCATCCCAAAGCGCAGGCTGATTCTGGTTGTTAAAACGTACAGTATAAATCTCAATGGCAAAAGAGCTCTTAAGCAACAATACAAACATAAGACTGAAGCATCCCAAACTACAGTTTATGAAATGTGTGCCTATAAATGAATTGACATTTATTGGGGTATTTCAGTCCTACAAAAACTCACCGGCTGTAAATGTCCTCTGAGTGAGTTTGCATGTGCATCCTGCTCGGTGTGAGGCTCACACTGCCTCCCTCTAAATATACGAGTGTCTCTCTCACTTTTCAAACCACTGCTCTACTCTCTGCCCTTCAGAGCTGAAATTTATGTGAATTAGAGTTGCAGCAAATAGGAGGGTCTAAGACTACCTTTGTAAACTATCAGCAAACACAGGACAGAGGTGACCGAGAGATCACTGACTAAAAGGTATAGAAAGTGTTTATGTTTGTGGTTCCAGAGGGTTTGGACACATTATGGCATTAGAGGTTTAAGACAAAGAACACAATAAAGCCAATGAGAGCATTCCTTCACGTGTCAAAGCACAGCTCTTATTCTGTCAGCAAGGGGTTCGTTTTTCAGCAACAAACCCTACCTGTGACCCTGAACAGACAACAACAGAGGTTTCAACAACATGTTTTAACAGTTTAAAGCAGTAGAGCTGATTTTGACCTCTGCATCCCCACCTTAATAAAGTGGGATATTTCTCAGAAGATGCTAAAAATTCCGTTCCTCATTGTTTTTTCATATGATATTTCCAACACCTGCCCATTGTTTACTGGAATTGGAAAGGGTTTTGCTTGTTTTATTTAATCACCAATTTCCGTAGTTGGTTCCTCCACTCTCTCTTCCTGTCCATTCGAAAGAAAGAATCAACAAGGCTTCGAGCCAAAGCAACAATGCCTTCTACACAACGAGTATCTCAGCAACATAATTTGTACTGTATTATACACTAACACTCAACATTTTGATGTTGGTAAGATGTTTTAGATTGTTTTTTTTAAAGAATTCTCTTAATGTTGATATAGAGAAAAAAATTAACATAGACATTAAACTGTACTTTATTTCATGTGATGGCAAAGCTGAATTTTCAGCAGACATTATTCCAGTGTCACATGATCCTTCAGAAACTGATTCTAAAATGCTGATCGACATAACACATATGATAGCCTACATGTTAACGTGTTTTAAGAGTCACAAAACTGCAGCAGTTTTGATGTTAAAAACTGCACTTTTTTTATATCATGTGACTTTCATTTTTAACATTTAAAAGAAAGAGCAAAGCGATAACAGCCCAACTATACAGTCCAATGGGCAAAACTGACATTTATATGAAGGGCTGCCCAGAGGACATCATATTTTTAGTCATTCGTCTTTCAGCATCATTAGATCGACACCAACAACACAGATAAAAGTCCCTGAGCAGGTCAGCTTTATTCAACCAATGAGAGACTTAAGAGCTGCCACAGCCAAGTTTACACCTCTAAGCTCTTCACTAATGGCATTCTGCTTTCAAGCTAACCCATAAGGAGGGTATAAATACACCAGGTCTCTACTCTTTTAGACTCCAGGTTTTAATAAAAGGACAACTGACTGCAAATCAGCGCCACTCACCTTTGTTCAGTGTTCATGTACATGTCTGGTTTTGTTTTAGACAGTCTAAAAATGTTTTAGACTTGCTAAAAGAAATGATCACATAAATTGCACATTTTTTTTTCTGTAATTAATCACACCATATATTTTATATTGTAATGTTTTCACACTGAATGTCAAAATCAATGTAGAAACAACATAAAGTATATATTTAAATTAAAATATTTATTATATTTAATATATATGTATGTATATATATATATATATATATATATATATATATATAGAGAGAGAGAGAGAGAGAGAGAGAGAGAGAGAGAGAGAGTTCAGATGCAAAAGCCTCTAAGTGCCATTTGAAATTTTCTTCTAAAATTATCATTTTATCAAGCTTGTATATTTAAGTTCAGTAATTTCACTTAAATGGCAATAAAGATTACCTATTAATTGTCATTTAAGTGAAATTACTGAACTTAAATACACAAGCATAAAAATGGTCATTCTAGAACAAAATTTCAAATGGCACTTATAGGCTTTTGCATCTGAACTCTTCATATATATATATATATATATATATATATATATATATATATATATATATATATATATATATATATATATACATACTTGAAAGGCCAGTCTCACTGATACCAATACTGATTGCAAATTTGAACTAGCCTCGAGTAGCCCATGTGGCAACTATGTGTCTTTTCATTTATTCATCCCGCTTGACAACAAGCTGACATCAGGCAACATCCAGTTTGTTAGCAACACCGTGCTCGGGCATCCGCCTCTGATCCCACAGGTATCTGATCCACTGCGAGAACGTGCGAGAAGCGAAATCTGTCTGGCTTGGCTGCGCTTTTTTCACTCCTCCCCTCACTGCAGCCGCCTCTCGACTACATTTCAAGGCGCATCTCAAACAAGCCTATTGAAAACGTCTGATAAACGTCGTATCTTGTAGAATGCACACTGTGCACCGCTGCTCCACACAGAGTAGGCTACGTGCGATTGAAAGTGAAAGTAAAAGACAAACTCCCTTTTGTGCATTGCACACAAATTAGTCATTCATAGTCCGTCTCCCAGTCTCTCTGGACTGTTTATTTGCGGCTATGGTCTCAGTTTGCACTTCGAATATTGAGAGAGTACTGATTTGACAGTATGTCCTGCCTGTGCTTGAAATTGGAATCATCAAATGAAATAATAAAGCATTCTTCACTGTAGCCTACGAATGAAACGTATTCTGATTCTTAGACTGCTGTCGCTTAATGCGATCTAGATACACACGATTTCTTAGATGTTTACATTCACTTTAGACAAAACCAACTGTTTATGTGAACCTTGCGTTTTTGACAATTTAAATGTAATAAGACGATAAAGATAGTTTAGTGGTCGCGCTGTGACAGCTGGCTAGCTGTGCATTGCGTTTAGGCGTGTAGCCTATGCTCGTAAGAAACGCCGCGCTCTCATAAACAGTTTGAAAGCGGCAGAAATCACACTAACTATATCTTACAGGTGTCGTCGATGGATATTGCGTATAGCATCCTCGATGTCGGATTAATTTAGCAAGTGGATCTACGGTGGAGGTGAACATCACGATAACAAACAAAGGGTGAGTGGAACTTGTTTAGGCCTATGGATCCGCCGTGGTCACATTTATGCCAGTCATTTTGCAAACAGGTTATTCGTCATTGGATGTGTTGTATTCGCTTGTTGGACAGATCACAATTTTTAAATGCAATGCAATAAGACCTTCTGTTATGCTCTTGATATGCCAATATGCTGGATGTCACTGTCTAACTTTGTCAAGGTAGCCAGTGACATCACGGACCGTTGAAGCTCAAGATGGCTGCCCCCTAGTAACAAAACAATATAGCCTACTATACAAAACAACTAACAACCCCTCATAGTGAAGTGGTTTGAGGAAAAAAAAATGTCACCTTTGAGGGTTTAAACTAAATTAGCTGTTGGACAGTGTATAAAAACGAGTGACTTTGTGAAAATTATTGTAAAATTTGTGTTGTTTTATTTTTGTTGTATCGATTATTTTCTCATCCATTTTTTTTTTTTTGAGGAGACACTTCCTCCCTTGCCTCCTCGGAGGAAACGCCCCTTAGTCACTCATGAACTCATTTGTAGGAGACATAAAGGATGTATTTGAAGAACTGTCTCAGTCAGTGTTTTGATTTAAAAGAAAAAAAGCCTTCCAAAAGGATGTGGCACCTTAAAGCAGCACAGTGCAGGGAGGGACACAGATGTAATGGTGGTGGTGGAGGGCTTTCCTTGGTTGACAAAGCCAAGCTGATTGATCTAGTTCACTTGTGCCCCGGAGCAGGGTCCTCTGGACTGCCATGCTGCAATGGTTCACTACACTCTCAGTGAGCGTGTACAGCACACATCACAAACAGCACAGATGAGAGTCGGAAAAATTCATTATGGTCCTGAGAAGGATCGTTCCTCTGCTGTTTGCTCCTGTGTAGAGCTTCTGACAGGGAGCGATGGCGAGGTGGTTGAAAGAGCATGTATAAGGGACTCTAATCTCTTTTTTTTAATGCTGCCTAAACAAGATTAAATCCCATCCTGTGGACTATGCAGTCTACAGTACCAAATTTCTGGGCAGACTAACCAGTGACAAATGTAATCTAAATCTTTATATATATATACATTTTGGCTACAGTGCAATGCATACAGCTACAAGCATTCTTTTAAAATCACCTACATCGTACAAGACTTGCATTAAAGCAGAAGGAAGACTTTACATCTGATTCAGGTGGTTACAAAGATATATTAGAAAATGAAAAAAGCACTCAAAACATTGTCGAGATAAGGGCTGTAAAGAGGAACAGTGTGGCATGTTAAAATCAGTGGCTTTTGGTCAATTAGATCTGGCTTGTTTGGCAGCAGTTGAAGCATTGGGAAATTTAGTGTTGTCTTTGTATGACAGCTACAAGATGCTTCTGTGATTTGACAGCTTCTGTTGTAGTTATCTAAAAGGACAGTTGCAGTCAAGCATAAAGATGACGTATTCTGTTTTCATTGCTGTGCAATAAAAAACTATTTAAAAAAAGTTAAAGCTTCAAATGAGGATGCACATAATAAACTGTTCTGGAAGCATGTGTACAGACCTCTCACTGATTTTTCTGGGCATAAAAGTAGTTGTAGTAGTTGCTCATTATGCACATTGAAGTCAGTTTATCACTACCAAAACTCTTCACTGAATTACAGCGAATGTTATTTTATTTATTTATTTAGTGAAGAAATGTATCTATTTGATCACAAACTGTATTGCTTTCGGTTAAAATACCAGTAGCATTAGATATAAATGTATAATTTTACATATCAATCATATTATTTTTCGCTGTAGGCATTTCATTGATCTTGAGAACAACAAACAAACAAGTCATATAGGAGATGTTTGGTTTACTTATCTAAAATTAATTTATTAATTCACGGTTCTGTGGCTTACCAGATTTAGCTGGTTCTGATAATGATTCAGGTCAGGATGTTTTTATGTTTAGAAGATGTCAACTTAAAAAAAAAAGATTGTTGCTTGTTCAAGTTTCTTTGTTACAGTCAGCTGACTTAACTGAACTAACGTAGTATTTTTTGTTGGGACTACACGAATCATTTTTTTTTTTTTTTTTTTGGGAATACATAAATAATTTTTGTTGACATAACTAACTGGGTAGGTCTGTAGTTCCCAGCATGGTTTGCCTGGCACTGTATTAGGAGAGTAAATGTTTTTTTTTTTGTTTTTTTTAGTAGTTGTTCTATAGCTAAATGTACCTGCAACTCAAATGAAGATCAAATTAAATCAATCATAAATATCGGATATTTGGCTTTGTTAAAGTTTTTAAGTCGAGAAAAAAATCTGAAAAATAATAACAATTTTATTCATTTATTTATTTGAATTTATGTGAAATTATTTTCATAAGATTTAACATTCTAGTTAAAGTTAGTAAGTTTTGAGCTCCATGTCAATTTTTGCATTTAGAGTGCTTTTTAATGTCAGGTTTCTCTTCTTATTGAAAGTTTCTTATGCTGGCTCCCTTTTCATCTATTTTGTAATATATTTGCATTGTAATTTTTACTAAACTGGCATGACTTTCCCTAACTCCCAAAATGCCATGAAAAAAGCAAAACCAGCTATAGCCATAAAACCATCAAATCATGCTATTGGAAATGCTTCTCATTCCATGTCTGATTGTGTGAAGAGCGAAAACCGAACCACACTATTTTTTTAATTAAACATGACCTTCACCTTTGTTAATGTGTTACCCCAGGAAACTGCCTTCATTCAAAACCACACACCACTCTTGCCAGTTAAAACTATTGATATCCATAATAAAGGCTAGATGTCTCATCCGCGCTGCTGGCCAGTGGAGGTCGACGTCCGCACCTGGCGGCCATCTGCGGCCATCTGACACAGGCAGCTTGCTCACTCGTAACATTGTGTTTTAATAGTGCATGTACTTTTTAAATAACTATAACTTGCTCAATTTTCTCCTGATTTTTAAACGGTTTGGTTTGTTATAATGGTCAGGGATAGTTATGACACTGCTTACTTATAAATAAATAATCATTCCAGAATTATAGCCGTCTTAATAGGCTAACATTTGTAAGAAACTAAACCGTTTGTAAATCCGTCAAGAGTTCAATGAGATAAGAGTATTTGTGTTCGTGATGATCATTCAACTTACATTCGATACCACAGAGCCCGCCAGAAAGCTTGCATGTGACAAGATGGCCGATGGTGATGACGATAGAGACTCCGCCGTACGACATCAAGCCTTTATTATGGATATCTATGGTTACAACACTTATACTTGTGAAACATATTGAATGTCTGAAATAGTGTGACTTTACTCGCATGTGAGGCTATTTCAAAATAAACAAAATGAAATGAGCAGTTTAAAGTCAGTGGCTTGTCAAACAACTGAAAATAAAACAAACTTTTAAATCAGCTCTATTTTACACAGGCTAGCCTCTGCTGGCAAATGGTCGGAAATGAATCTTCTTTCCTGACTATAATGAGTAGGAAATAAATTATCTGAGAAGAAGGATAGTGCCACTTGAGGAAGAGCTACTGCCATCTTCTCCCTCCAGTCACCTCTAAGTCTCATTATAGCCCATTTTTGTTGTGGGGGGATGTGTATCTTTAATAACTCAGTCTGAAGAGGCCAAGCTAAGCATTCTGCAGTGTGAATCTTGGCCCATTTGAAGTATCTGTGGTTCAACAGTAAAGACTGATATTCCTGGGCTCAGCAACTATATAAACAGACAAACTGAACTCGATTGAAGATTAGACTGAACACATGCTCACAGCAGCTTTAAATTTTAAATCATTATCAGAAAATTGCTCAGAAGTGGCCAGTATATTAACCAGCATTCTGCAGTTCTTCCATGCAGAACATACCACTGAATGACAGGAATGTGAAAGTTGACACGGGATTGAATCTTTGGGAAAAAAATAAGCTTCATAATTTCAAAAATCTATGTTTTGTTCCAAAGCTGTGGAAACACTGAGCATGCTACAGAGCTAAGATGATGGCAGGGACAAAAATGAGGTTGGATAGGGCAGCAGAGAGGAACAGGACACGACATGCACACATCCTGTGTGAGATCACACTGATGTCAAACCATATCGCTTCCTGCTGATTAAGCTGACGTAATGGCACATGAGGATCTGGCTAATTCCTGTATTACATTAGCGCATCAGAGGCAGATGCAGGGAGGTTATATAACTACTAAGCAGTTTTGTAAGATGATTTAGTGACATTTAAAGCTTTGATGATAAAACAAACACATTTTGGAGTGGCTAAAGTGATGTTTTCTAATGGTAGTGTAAACATCCTGTTTCTCTCTTATAGGTTTTATGGTGTGATGAGCATTAACTCTAGAGAAACTTATTTTTACCATACAGTTGCAGAGAAGGAAAATGTAATCCCACAATTTAGCAGATAGGGGCTCAAATGATCTCCAGTCTTGGATTTCTTCACCACTCCTCATGTAGCCTATATCACTTGGTTTTGAGATGTATTTCTTATTCTTTTCCCCAAGCAGGCAATAAAAAGGCAATCTTAATTAAAAGCAGATACAAATAAAAAGTATCCAGCTTGATATTACTTAAGGGCTGGTAATTTGGGGGTTATCCATGTAGTCTCCAAATGCTATGCAAATGTCATAAATATAGTGACATTTTGTGAATCTATGGTTTGAAAATATAAGTTATGTTCTTAACATGAACAGTCTGAATGAGCCGTATTAATAATAAACTGATTCACAAGTTTGAATCTGACTTTCCAATGCTAATAGGCTTCATGTTGAATGATTTGATTTGATTTTAAAATCTGGGTTTTAGTGAAAAGAAGAAACCAATCAACATGCAATGGACATCTATGAACATGGACATGGCTCCTCTATGGTAGCTCTTTTTGAAGGCATCTTGAGGAAAACAAGGTCAGTTTAAAAAAAAAACCTTTTTCTAAAAATGCAATTTGGAGTTCAGCTGAATTGGAAAAAATACATTCTATATAAACATGGAGCTATATAAACTGCAGTTCAGTGCACAGATAGCCACAAGAAAAGAGGCTTTAAAATTAGGTGGTAGCT